ACCAAATGAAACCATTAAATATATATTCCCGTTTATAAATAGATAACTAAATATAATGTACCAATAAAAATAATCACCTTATTAGCAATAAGATCTATGCAAAATATCTTTTCAAATTTCCAATCGTGTTTTCTCAATTCGACAATTTTCAGTTATGACAGTATTTGACTTCATGTGTAATTAATTAAAAAAATAATAAATTTAATATATATTAGTTATTTTTGTATGTCACTGTCATCATCTGACTTTTCATTGTCAACAACTATTTGTAATATGAGATGTGTATTTACGTAAACGGAATATATATTATAGGCGACGGAGCCAGAGAGGCCCGAAGAAGAAGAAAATTGGACCAGCTACCTTAAGAAATCCAAACCGACATCAATGAAATCTGGAAGAGGCACATAAACCAGCTGCTGGCAACCAGACTCTTTCAACTCTCAGAACTCGTCAAAATTGAAAGGGAAGACCTGATATATTTATGGCTGAAAATAATGCTTTACTAATTTTTCTGTCATTGCCTTCACCTGTCTTTTTATTACGGAAAATATTTTGAGAAACAATAAATTCATTTCTGACCGTTTAAAGTATTTTTTTCTTATTCATTCCGGAAACTTATAGTGCACCCAACGTAATATCTCTACCGATGGGGGCTGTTTCATGCGGTGGTGTGGGAAAAACAGCAAAACATCTACTCGTAATTACAAAACACACGGAATCACATTTCATTGGTAATTGAATATTAAAAATGTAATTTTTCAAGTTTCGTCCATTATAGCTAAGCTCAAGTTGAACTGGTCGGTTTGAAGTGAAACAATTGACGACACCCGTCAATTGTTTCGAATTCGGGCTGGCCAATCGGAGCGCAGTTGTCATCGTAATGATTTGGCGGAATAGTTTTCAAACAAACTAAATGACATTTCGTCTCTATTTCCAGTTATATACTCCATATTTTAATATAAAGAATATATATTAGTGACTATAACGCCTTATCCAACAGTACTAAAGAAATTCTACATGCAAACGTAGACAATCGCGAAAACCATAAACCTTCGCTGTTGCGCAGTCAGATAAAAAGGCAATTACTCAATATTTCACATAACTGAATTCTGCATAGTTTGTAACGTAGCCACCCATCGTGAGCTATAAATTTCGTACGCGGAAGACGCGCAATCAAGACAATTAAACTTTTACCGTATATGGCTTAGAGATTACAAATGTACGGGTTCTGTCAATTACTTACTATGTTTTTGTAAATTTGCAGCCGTCGTAAATGTGCTGTTGTGTAAAAATTCGATGAAATTCAATTCCCCCAAGTTATTGGGACAGTGTGAAGGACTCTTATGTAGTGAAACGTATTAAATGCTACTAAGTACTGGGAACAAAGTTACAATCACAGTAACTCCCAATTAATTAAATATTGTTTTTTTTTCTTGCAGTTAGTTTTATTTACTCAACAATTAATAAATAATAACGTTTATAACTTTTAGATACATATATAATAAAGACAAAGAGCACACTATATTAAAGTATTAAGTCTATGGTTACACATCGATGCCTTACTTTCTCAAACACGTATCTTATAAAGAGTGATTCAGGAGACGGCAAAAATTTCCATTTATTTTAAATTTCTTATCAAGGGTGTTAATTTGGATACTTTACTTTAAGTATAGGTAAAGGCCAGTGTGTGAATATAAAGGAAATGTGACGTCAAATCAGCGTGCAAAATTGTATAAATAATGCATTTTTTGCACTTGAGTTACTTTGTGCTTTTAAGATACGAGTTTGAGAAAGTAGGCGTCGATACTCCACTTAAATTAAAGTATTTAAAACTCCTGAATGACAAACTAAACAATGCTGGTATTCTGGGGTTCAGTATTCTTTCATTCACTGGAGTACACATCAAAACTAAACAAGATTCAATTCACTCTGGTGTATGTAATAAGTACGTGTACAAAAATAATAATTAAAGTAAATTGTTTACATACAATAAACTAAACATACTTATTCTAATACCTGTGAAGTTTAGTGTAGTAAACCAAATGCATTATTATAATATTTATTTGTGCTTTTCGTTGTTGTTGTTATTGTAAAGTAACTGTCTACAAGTGTTTACTAATTGCAAGTGGAATTTACCTGTAATTGTTTGATAGATTTAGTTTTAAGATGTTCCTAGCTTATCTAAAAGGTAATAAGGTAGTCAAATGTTGGTAAAATAAATAAATAAATCACAACGTAACGATAAACGTAGCAGTAGAGCTCCTTGTGAAAGAGTTTATCCAGGGAAGTACTGCCACCTTACCTGTTTCTGCCGACAAGTAGTAATATGAGCATTATTGTTGCGCAAGCTAACATATATATTTAAAAATCTACGACATGTGAGTGATCCGAACATTGTTAAACTGGTATATCTGGCACTCTGCCAGTCAATATTAACATATAGTATTGTAATTTGGGGTGGAGCGCCCACATCAACTTTGCTACCACTTGAAAGAGCTCGAAGGCTAATACTGAAAGTGAGTTACTTCCTTCCACGTTTATATACAATAAGTGAGCTGTATAACCTCTGTAAAGATTAACGGTCCGCTAATTGTTCGTACTGAATGTCATTTTATTTAAGCACTGCCAATTATCTTTTAATCCTAATTATCATACCAAAAGAAGGTAACACACAGTGTGCCCCA